GAGGTCTACCAGCAAGTTTTGGCGGACAGCTTTGTAGAGACGGAAAGGTCTCATCCTACGGAGAAGATCGCTGCAGCGATGCCTACCTACAAGAACGTTCGCAGCATTCTCCAGAGACAGAGAGCAACACAGCGGCCTCCGCTACCCGCTTGTCGAGCTGACTTATCACTTGTCGGCGTATGGTCCCAGACTCATTCTGGACAGAACTTCGTTCTGTTCAACGACGGAGGCGATGGGAAAATTGTCGGTCTCGGCACGGATGAGACTCTGCGGATCTTGACTCAAGCTCCTGTAATCTATATGGACGGAACATTCCGAGTAGTTCCCAACATATTCTGCCAATTGTACACTCTACGTGCCTTCTACAGGGGGCAAATGATGCCTCTCGTTTATATCCTCCTACCCGACAAGAGCACGAATACATACCTTCGAGCGTTTGATCTTTTGAAGGGATGCGCCGCCAGTAGAAATTTCTGTCTTCAACCCCAGAAATTTCAAGTCGATTTCGAGCTCGCTGTACTTCGGGCGATTCAAGAGAAGTTCCCCCTCGCCGAAATTAAAGGGTGTAATTTTCATTACACTCAGGCCCTGTGGAGGAGGGTCCAGCGCGAGGGATTGACGAGGCCTTACGGAAACGATCCCGCCGTGGAGAAGTAGGTGTTGAGCATTTGAGGCTTACTGAACCCATATGATACCTATATTCGCAACTTCGGCATTTCCAAGAAACCTTGAAAGGTGTTTAAGGTGATTGTCTACCACAGGTACATCAGAGGCTGCATGGCATTGAGCCTTGTGCCACTCTCAAGCCTCGACGATGCGTGGTTGGAGGTGGAAGCGGAATCCCCAGGCACGAACCACGAAGCTTATCAGAAGCTCACTCAATTCAAGGATTATTTCATAAAAACCTGGTTGGAAAACGATCCCGTTTTCCCACGGGGGCTCTGGAACCACTTCGGGTAACCTTTCCATCCTCTTCGATAGCTGCTGAATTGATCTTGAGACGCAGGATAATCCCGAGTTGTGAAGAAGGATGGTCTGAGTAGTGAGTCTGATTATCCCTTTCTGCCTTGATCATTAGGAACGTTGGTGCACGGACCACTAACCACCTCGAAGGATGGCATAATGGCCTCAATCAGAAGCTACAAAGCTGCTCATGTGAGCTATTTATGAACTCATCACCCATCTCAAAAAAGAAGAAAATGATCTCAGGCTCCAGAGGTTGCTCCTGGATGCAGGGAATCCTCCTAGGCCTATGAGGAAGAAATATAAGACTCTAAATGATCGCTTAGCTCGGCTAATGCAGCAGCTGGATACGAATGAGATCACTCTGGGGGAATACATTTCCAGAGCAGCATACAATCTGCCAGAGGCATGCTCTACCTGAACAGAACCTTTATAAATCCTTCAAACAATAAATGCAAGAACTCCTCAAGATACAAATAACTATCCCGTCTGATTCATGAGTGCGCCGAGCCATCCCCCAATGACAAAACCGCTGAGACGATGATCAGCACATGTTTTCCGCCGGAATTCTTTCTCCGGAATGGCCTCGGAGCTATATTGGCTGCCTGTTTTGCGATGATATTTCAGCGGACTCTGGATGGAACATAGAAGCTTACTCGGCAGGCAACGAGCTGAGAAAAGAGGGGGGAAATTTTCGGCCCTACGGGTTTTCGGCCCCATTAGCGTTCGACTATCTGATTTTTCGGCCCGACAGGATTTCGGCCCTTCGCGTTTTCGGCCCTACGGGAGTCATCCCAGCCGAATATCCCTTGGTGGGATAAACGGATGATCATCATCAGGAGGTTCATCTCCGCTTGTGGACATCTCCGCTAACTCAAGTCGTCCCCTTACACCCCCCAAACAAAGGTTAAGAGCCGAACCACGCCCGGAAGGCAGCGCCACGGAGACATTGGGCGCCATTATGGGCTGCGCCGTTGACGGCCTGCTACCTGCTAACCCAAACCGACTCGATATAGTGGAACTGCTACGAGAAGCGTCGAATTGATTGAGCAGCACACTGTGGTGTTGCCTCTTTCAGGGAAATCCTCCATAGATTCAGTGCCGAGAACTCCGCGCCGTTTTGGCCGCGCCGTTATGGGCTGCGCCGTTTCGGTCGCGCCGTTTTGGTCGCGTCGTTTTAGCCGCGCCGTTTTGGTCCCGCCGTTTTGTCGAAGACCCCTCAGTCGCCTCCTACTCCTGTTCATCCACGTTGAATAAGCTGCACTACGTTTTCTTCCGATCGTACGGAGATCCCTCTCGGCGTATTCGGAATGGGGAGATACGTTCGCTCCTCACGAATCGCTAGAGCCACGCAACATCAGAGCAAACTCGATACCTCACGTGTGTTGTGCGAGAAACGGTTCTCCGGCTCCCTCGTGGCTCTCACGCGTGCTTCGTGGGAGCTTCCTCCTTAAGCCGGATCCTACGAGCATCGTTCGACCGTCATGAATTCCCTGAACGAGCGACGAGAGGTTGGGGAAGTTTCTGTGTTCGAGGATAGCGATCGACTGAAGTTTGTCACGATACGTCCACACTCACTCGTGATAGCTCCGTTCTTATTTCCCATCGTCAAGCTTCTTCCCGGAGCCGAGATTTCGTCCGTCGTCGCCTTCGGACGCAATTCGCCAGCGAAGGCAGCACGCGGCAACCCGAACGTAGGATTGTCCTGTGGCTTGAAGCTATCGCGTATGCACCATAGATATATGGATCAACGTTTTAGATACACTAGATTCTCAAGTTGGGGCCGAGAGGGTCGACTTCGGAGGGTCGCTGACCTCCGTGACGACTTCGAACGACAATGCCCGAATCGACTTCGTGGTCCAAGCTACCGGGCGGTTGACTCCCATCGGTGAGCTGAAACCGAGAATTCTTCCATCGATTTTCAATATGATGATGACCCTCTTCTAGGAGATTACGATGCGGATTTCCGGTTAGGTTTCTAGATCGATCCTATCAATTGCGAGTCTCACTCAGGCGGACCCATCGACTACCGTGGATACGATGTACTGCTCATGGCTGCACAGCAGGACGTTCTAGTCACTGTGGAGCGAACAAAGGGAGAATTCAGTGACGTATCTAGTTGATTACAGATGAAAGATCATGCCCCTTGAAATCGGTCCGGGCGATTATTTCTCTCGATCACTCCAGAGGATATTGAGCTTCTGGCTCGAGAAACTGTGCCTCTCGCAGCAGGCATGAGCAGTGCTCTCGTGTGTGAGGCGGCTCTCACCACACTCCACGCCATCGGGCACATTGCTGAGTGTTTGTTCGGGGTTTCGATGCGGGGATGATCCTCCGGTTCCGTCCGAGAAGTGTTCAGTCATCATGATTGAGACGAAGATGCCGGTGTGTCAGATGGACCAATCCGATCTGCTCGATGTGTGAATCTCACAAGAGGCTCGCAAGCAGAATACTGCCTTACTGGGAGGATCTGCCGAGAGGGGAGCTCGCGTCGTTGTGCGCGATAGTCGAGCGGTTCATCAGACTTCACGGTTGGAGGATGGATCAAGCTATCTGTCTCGTGGCGGAACAGAAGTGCGCCAAACTCATCGAATTCGAGCTCGAAATCACAGCAAGCACGATTGAGCCGCCGCTTGAGCCTATTTTCGCCGTAACCATCAGCTGTGCTGAAATCATCAAGGGGAACTTTTTTGTTCTACAACATCCGAGAGGTTGAATGGTGATTTACGGCTCAGGTAGCTCGGAGCCTGAGACAGATGATCTCTCTATCCTTTCGCAAAATCGCGGATCTTGACAAGAAGCTATTCTCTCTCAGCTTATGCTTGAATTTGGCGGGGGAAATTGAATGAAGGTTCACGACTCTGAGATCTCCAGAATGCGTTGCGAATGAACTCGGGATGATCCGGAGGCTCAGCGAATTATTCGAGATGAAGGAAGAAGGATTCGTTGGACGAGGTCTCCCGGAGAAAACAAGAGATTTGAAGCGCTCCAGACTGCGAGAGGGAGCATGACATGTGATCTGGGAAGCGCGGAGACTTTATCGTTTTGGGAACGCCAGCCCCGCGGTTCGCATCGAAAAGATGCGCACACCAATGCAAGAAAGTCATTCCAGCTGCCGGGATTCATATTATGAACACTCGAATGAAATCTTGGACCAAATTGTGTGGCTCTGTTTGGTTGAGGATGCTCTCGGCTCTAGATCGGCCGGCGCGAGTGAGGAGTCCTATCGAATACGCCTCGTTTGATCTTCCAGACATGGCACATGTATCGAAAATGATCAAACCCATCAGTCGAAAGCTCTTCTTCGATTCCCCCGGAGCAGGGAAGGCTATGCGGTATTGCTCACCACGGCTGACAGAATCAGCTCTATCGTGGACACCCTCGATGAGAATTTTTCTAAATCGAGAGGATTGACCTCGGCGTGAGACTTTTTCATATCGGAGCCGGCTGACCGGGCGAGGATCTTTGATAAAGTCTTTTCGAAGCCAGAGAGTTCTCGCAGGTTTTACAAGGACGAGTGCCCACACGCTCTGAGGAGGATCAGTCGAAATATTCGACTTCTGTTTGAAGATTGCGTGTGAATCTCTCGGAGCCGAGACTTGTCGAGCTACGGGACTAATTTTCAAGTTAAGATCAACATCCATGAGACCTATGATGTCGTGGAAAAGCAAGGAATCTCCCTCAGGGGTGAATTCCAATCTCAGTCCTCCTCCTCGAGCTTTGCAATTTTTCAAGTGCTTTCACGGCTCAGCTCCCCCGGTGGGAAGCTTGCGGGACTACGGAGTGTTTTCCGCCGCAGAGAGAAAACTCATAGCCTAACTTTTCTCTCCAAAAATTTTTGGCATTGATCGATGTTCCTCTATTTGGGCATAATTTCTCCTCTATCCGCAGCAAAGAGCAAGGTCGCGTTCTTTCCTTGTACATCTGCGCTGTCATGTAATTATTTACAGTGTGAATAGCAGTCAGGAGTTCTGTCTCAACGATCCCACGTGGGATTCAGGAATGGCTTCGGTTACGGCTGCCAGCCTTTCGTTGCCTTAGAGTCGGCTCGGGCCGGGAAATAGGATCCTCGAATACTTGGGCCTCTCGGTGAGGGGCTTCCCGAGGACGTAAGTGATGCGATCGACATCATATCGTTTCGTTCCTTGCTTCAATCCGCTTTCACCGTAGTATTGGCTGAGTTTCTTGCTCGGGGAACCGCTCTGAGACGCTGCAGCTGTGGAATCGGATGCTGGAAGTCGGATTTCGTTCTTCCGATGGCTGAATTTCGAGGGTTTAGTCTCCGGCCTATTGACTTCGAAGACTTTCGTGAAATTCCGATTGGCCAAGTTGGCAATCGAGTCGTAGTATCGATTGAACCAAGTTTGCGGCAAGCTGGGGAAACGGTTATTCGAAGGTTTCGGTGATGTCCTCAGGTACAGCGCTACGTCTACGTCATGTCGGAAAACCTGTAAGGCAGGAGCGACAGATTGAGCTGATGGTCGGCACACCTCAATCCGAAACAAGGGTGTCCCAGGATGATATAGCTTGTGAGCACGCCGAACCTTGTCAAACTTCGGGGTGATCTTTGATTCAGCAACGAGTTTCTCGACTTTTTTTTCCGACCCTGTCGATGACTGACTCTGGGGACGAAGCAAGGAATTTTAATAGTCCCCATTATTTCTTGACTGACCGGATTCCTTCAGATATCTTCAGCGAACTGTCCGACGTCATACCTTCTGGGTCAGTGGTTCTTTTTTGACTGGCCCGCTCTCACTTTCATGAGTTTGGGATGCCTGTCCGAAACCGAAGTTGCTCCCCGAACCAAAACCTCCCCCAGAGCTCGGGACATTAGCGCTCGAAAATCCTGGAAAGCCGGAACCGCCATCCCCTCCTGGAAAGCCGGAATCGCCGCTCCCCCCTGGGAAACCGGAACCGCCATTTCCTCCTGGAAGACCGAAACCGCCATTTCCTCCCGGGAAAACGGAACCGCTATTCCCTCCTGGAACACCGGAACCATCATTCGCTCCTTGGAAGCCACCATTTCCTGGAAAGTCCGCGCCTCCGTGGGAGAAGCCGGGTCGGCTATCCCCACCGGGAAAACTGGCACCTCCTGGGAACCCAGAATTCCCGGGAGAGCCTAGTGTTCCCCCAGATTCCGGAGAAAAGTCCGCAGCCGAACCGAAACCTACGCTCCCGAATGCGGGCAAACCAGCGGCGGGTGTGTTTCCAGAGTCCAAACTCGATTCAGGGAAAGCCGCTGGAAACACAGAAGCGCTGTGGAGCGTCGGGTCATGGTTCTCTGGAAAGTTGGGCGAATCAGATGTCTTTCCTATGCCAAACCGCGGCCTGCAGTACTGATGACTTTCAGGAAAGCAACGTACCAATAATGATTTTCTTATCCGGGACTTTTTTTTAGCTTGCTCATTGTCTTTCTCGATTTGCACATTGGCGTGCAGATTGGGGAACCAGCTAGTCGCGAAGGGATCTCTGTGTACGCCTGCGCTCAATGTTATCTTCTTCTTCGATTTCTTCTTGACCTGTAATAGAAGCGTAGTAGAGTTCTGTTTCGTTTCCCGTCCTCGTGGTGTATGACTGTTTTCCCGCCGAATATGCAAAATATGTGTCCGTGAACTCGGCGAGAAGCTGACCTCTTTCCCATCGTCTTCGTCCTGGAGAATGTGATCGACTAGATGCGCTACTGCGAGGGGATCGGTGTGCTGAAAGAGTGATCCACATGAACAGATGGTTAATCCTTCTTCCTATGTGGCAACGATAGAAAATCTCCCGCAGGCAGCGCGAAGTTCTAAGCGGCGAGCCTCCCACTAACCTGGATCCGCCAGTGATGAAGAGCTGCTTTGCCGTTCAGTACGTCGCGAATGAGCGAGCGCCCACCGTGATGACAACTCGGTCGGTGTCCGGGACACGGATATCGGCTTATGCATCTTGCGAATTGGAGATCACAATCACAGAGTTGCTGTGCACATCCGTAATGAGGGCTCAGAGAATCCGTGAGTGCTTGTTGAAGGAGAGGAGCCGTCATGACTTTGCATCCCGAGACTGTCCGAATCCGTCATCAATGAATCGATTCCATCCGTCGGACCCGAGTTCGGAATTCAGGTACCTATACTACCGATACTCACAGCAGTAAGCGATTCCCGGTCCAGCGCAGCCCCAATGATAGGGTAAAAGATAAGTTGACAGGTGAGAGCAGCGGGTCGCGGAATAACACCAGTCGTGCTCCAAGCAGCATCTGAAGAAATCCGATCGATTAGAATCGGAATACATAATACACTACGAAGTTATTCCCTCATTTTCTTTGGACTTCATGATATTCGCTCACGTGTCAATTGGGTCCACCGGCGCGCCGTCCCCCATGTACCCACAGAAACAACCGTAACCCTGAAATGCTAGCGGACTGCAGCCGGTCACGCACTTCAGCATCGAAGCAAGCTGAAGGACCGATCGCCGGTGTCTGGATAAGACTCGATGTGAGGGTGCGTCGGCGATAACTATCGAACTCGAATTCTCGTACAGGTCCGACGTGCTGATTGGAAGCGTTCCGGGCTTAATTTTCTCGACTATAACATTAAAAGTCGACTTTAAGATCCGTTGAAAGTCAACTCTCATCCTATTCGTCCATCTTCCTTGGATTTCCCTTATATGCTCTTACCACGGCCGAATGCAGTACCGAGAGAGTTCTGCTCGACACTGATCTCGGGTCCGAATGGCGTACTTCGAGTCGAGTTGAGCTCGACGCTGGTCTTGCCCCGATGGAAGAGAGCTGAAATCAGATACGTATGATTCGGATCATGAAAACCGAACGTGAACCCGTAAGTGCGCTTCCATTCATCGCGTCTCGCGTCCAATATGCAAAACGAGTCGAAAAACGGTGGAAACGTCCGGGGCTATCTCAAGGTCCCCGCTGTCACGCCTATTGTGATTATTTCACGGGGCCTCATCCCGACGACAGAATCCTCTGTGGAAAGTGAACGGGGTATGACGAAAGGGATCAAGCAGTGTTCCAATTTCATCCCGTATAAATGACCACATCGGGTTCTGAGGTCCATTCTGCTCGGGGGAACAGAGAACTTTGAATGGAGTATCCTTTTGTAATTAATTCCATTGTTTGCTGTTACATAAACGCGACCGCTCTACGGCATCGCTTCAAAATCGCATCTCGGTGGGGCGGAGCGGTCGGTCCACTGGGCCAAGGGCATCGCTTTTCAAGATGAATCCTTTTGTTGTTCGCTGATGCGGGGGGCGATAAATTCCCGATTCTTGATTTCCTTTCAATTCCGGCGAGGTTTAGAGCGGGCAGATGAGCCGAGCAGACATTCCAGCAGGATTCGCTGAGCTTCGATCTGTCCGAAGGGCTGGCCGGCAGTCTAGTTGGTTGGCTGAGCCGGGCGCCAATCGGCCAGTCTGCGGGCTCGTTCGAAGAGCCTTCCGTAAACGATAAACGGATGCTTCGGAAGCAGCTTCCAAAAATGTAAACAGACGCCGGGGAAAATGAATCAAAGGAAGGATCTACAAGAAAAACTGTCGCTCCCAATCATCCAGGAATGATGTTCCGACACTGCCTAAGCCGTCGTGATCAGAAATTTGTCGGCGGCCACAAACAAGAAGTCGAACACGCACGGAAGCTTTCCCGTTAGATACTCATGAGCCAAGACATGCTCCGGAATGGTGATCGAATAGACTCGCGACTCCAGAGAACTTGGAGAAGCTCTTATCCAGCCACAATCTGGATCGCAGTACCTCCTTGAAAGCTTCCGTGGTTCATTTAAATGTTCATTTTCTCCAACATCTTGCGAATGCTATTGGGCATTGTAACGACCGATGACGGACCATCATAGACCGCGAATTAACACGGAGTTCGTCTTCATCGCAATTCAATAGAGCTGTGACGTCACTGAGAGCTTTCCCCCAAGTCTGGCCTTGCTCGAGCATTGGTAAGTAAATGTTGGGCGCACAAATATTGAGGATTGCTCCGGTCCTCGGTGTGGTACCGTCTCAGATGCCCGTCAGCTTCCACCCAACATCTCTCTAGTCCAGCGGTTTCCAATGTGGGTACCGCGGAACCCTAGGGTTCCGCGAGCCCCGGCTCGGCTGCTCAGACTTTTATTCATTTTATTGAAATGGAATGAATTTTCTAACCTCGAATGCATGCAGGATACTTCATGCGATCGTGGTCGAAGGTTTTGAGGTGATCGAATGGAAAGTTCGGAAAGACAGAGTCCGAAACCAATAATGAGGGTTCCGCGGAACCCACCAGGGTTCCGCAGGGCGAAAAAGGTTAGGAACCCCTGCTCTAGTCGACCCTCTGAGAGTAGGCATCTGGTACCTAACCCTCGGTTAGGGTAGAAGTGATGATACCCAGGGAAAGTGCGGGCCCATGTCAGTGCTTAAGCCCTTTGAGCTGCTTGGCCCACAGATTTCGCCACTTTGTCGAGTCAAAAAACCTCTAGCCTATTCGCTCATCATGATTCTATTATGGGACTTTACCTATCTTCAAGAGTTGAAGGGTCCCGACTCCCAAGGTCTTAATCTGATCTCCAGACTAAAGCGAGACATCGAATGATGAGCGATGTCCCGCACTTATCATACATCCGGTGAAAACAAACTAATCTTTCTCAATCAGACATGTCTGATCTGCATATATCATTCCAGAATCATAACCAAGAAGCCCGTCGATTCTTGAATAGTCCCTCCATTGGACTGCAGGCGAATGAGGATTTTTCCTCCCTTCTCTAAATTACTCGCTGGTGTCCGCATCGGGCGCAAATGTTCCCCCCACGAGCATACTCGGCGTTTGTAAATTGTTTCTTCGTGTATTCCATGATTGTATACGAGCTCTTTTTTTGTTTGGAAGCCACAATGTGAATTGATGCAAAACAATCGGGCCCGAGCGGACTGCGGACCAGACATCTAGCGAGCCACTTTGCTGGCCTTTGAACGAATAGCGAATCATCATCACCGGCAGCGCCACCATGGGCATGAATATCGTACCGTCTCAGCTCATCCCCGTACAGTATCATCCGCGCGCCCCGGGCTTTCACTTCTGAATGATGCTTCTGCTATGAGTGTTGTGGTTGAACGTAGCTGGCCTAGCCCGGCTCGGTATACGAGACAACATACTCTCGCTCGGAATACTGACTGACCAGCCAACGAAGACCGTGTTGTTGATACAGACGCATCAGACGGCGCGGAATAGTGAGGAAGGCTCCGCAATGTCTCGACGTGGAGCGGAGCGCCATTCCGTCCGACCAACCGACAGACCGGGCGGACCAACAGACAGAGGTACCGAAAAATCATTAAAAGCGATCAGCCAAGGGTCCGTAAGGTCAGCAGTGCCAATGCACGCTCTACGGCGCGCACGTGCGACCCCCGGCAAATGGACCGCGTTCAACCGAAGAGACGTCTGCAATTGAACACAATTACTTCTGAGACCTCTCTACTGGTGGTCTGACTCGAAAACTCGGATTTTGGCACCTAGTCACCCACTATTTGATGGGGGTCCTCTCTCGTGATCGGACACTGAGAAGTTCAACAACCAGACGCAAGGGTTTTCATTTGCGTCCGACGAAGTTGAAGTTTCCGTTCGGAGATAAAAATATCGTGGGTATCTTTCCACGAACTTAAGCTACGGCATCGCAATTGTCGAGAATAAACGAGATGATAGATACAAACAGACAAAGATAATTTGACCCGACCAGATCGCAATCGACTCGCATCTGACCGAGGGACATCGAACGAGCTTCTTCGAGCCCCGGGATGCAAGATATCTAAGGTATCAGTTCAGGGTCAACTGGCAGCAAACGATCTCGAGCATCTCTGGATTTTCTTGGGGAGGCGATTCCCTACTCCTTGAAATAGATCACATCGAAATCGAGCCCGCAGCTCTCCGCAGAAACCGAACATGCCGCCATAAATTCGCGTTCCGGAGCCATTGGAGGTTCCAGGAAGCTGAAATATAGGAATACCGATTGGCCGATGGTAAGAGGCGGCAACGATATCAACTGACATCTACGGACCTTTTATCGATCCGTTGAGAGAGCATCCGGCCTTCTCGGTGAACCGCGGAGGACAGGCATTCAACCCGAAGTAAGATGAGGTTCATCAGCGGCCCCTCAATAAGATGTTTGACGCTCTCAGGTCGCGAACTGAGTTTCCGAGAAGGCTCCGCCCGCTCTGTCACGATGATGCAGAAATCGGTGCTCTGTTGTCGCCCACGACGACTACGAATCAAAGCGCATCCCTCTCGACGGAGCGAGTCGAGATGAGAGACTTCCTCGATCGGTTCGATTCCAGGCGGGCAGTCACGCTCGCTTCGCGGTCAACTATCCACCGATCGAACGGATTTTCAAAATACGAATGCTCCGCGTTCGAGAGATGAATATCCATGGGTTCTCGGGAAGACAATATCCTCTAGAATTCATGATGGTGGAAGTCCCGCTTCAAGATGCTCAGACAGCTACGATTCCGTCTCCAACTGAGCTTGACTCAAGCGCGTGCAACAAATTGTCTGGCCGGTTGGTCGCTAGGCAAGCGGGCGGGCGGGTGACTGAGCATGCTGTCGGACGTTCCGATGGACTTTTGGATCTACTGCAAACTCGCTCAATTACCCACGAATAGAAGAAAGACGGACACTTCAACTCATCCAGCCTTGGCTTCGATGATCAGACCTCAGCTCAGTCAGTTCAGATCAGCCAGGAACTTTTTCCAATCTTCATCAAGTTCGCAGCGACCGGATCACAGAACGCGCTTTTTTCATTTTCTCCAGCGTCAGAAGCTCTTTTCTTCTCGAAGCCTGGAGCTATTCTCGAATTTCAACTGGTTCTGCGGAACTGCGAAGCTTTTTACAGTTCTCTTACTTTCGGACGGCTCCCTCGGCTTGATATCGAGCCTTCGGTCGATCCGTCGCAGAACAGGGCTCGCTTGAACTCGAACCCGAAAAGTTCCGTGTTCCGAAGGCCTATTCGCGATGAGACCGCTTCGATGAGAGATCGACGCGCGCATATTCATAATTTCATCTCGGGCTCATTGTCCTCGTTTCGATTCTACAGAAGCAGCTCGCGAATCGGAGCATTAAGATCCCGAAGTACAATGTGCCAGATGCAGTCGCTCGATCAGACTTTCTCCGGGGTCAGCATTCAACAAGTTATCATCGAAACCGAGCATGGGCCGCACTCAAGAACTTCCGGAGGTCTCGAGGCCAACAGACTACGATCGCTTTTTTCGCGACCGCTAGTTTCATTGCCGACATTACCCACGTTTCTTTTATCGGACCTTCTCCCATCCCATAACGGACAATGTCTGTGATGCGTTCCGTTCAATTCAAGAACGAAGACACGCCTGCGGTGACCAAGTGTGTTTTCAAGAAGCAAAAGCTCATCCGTGTGGCGTCAAGTCACGGTAAGAGCGATCGGCCGACTGGCCGATACTGAACGCCAGCTTGGTCAGGGGGAATCGCATCGGTCTATCGAAAGAAAATCTCAGTGTGAGGTGAGAAGTCGCGGATAGCCTATCACTATCCAGAGCCCATCGCTCTGATTGAGATTGTACTCTGTCGAGATGTTGTGGCCAAGAGAGCCAGCCGGCGCTGATCTCCCTGCTCGCGAGAAGTCTCCGAGGCTGGGAGTGAGCGAGGCTCTGCCGGCGGCCCCAGCTTACGTTTCAGTGAATGATTTCGCTCGATTATATGATCCGGAGTTCGCTGGAGACACCACAAGAATGCGTCCTCTCACGGCGACGGCTCCTCCTGGCAAGCCGAAATGTTATCTTATATGGGTTTTTCCCTTATATATGACGTCTTCAACATGGGACCCGTGAGATCGGGACTCGGGAAAGTGTCTCTGAAATCCGGTCTTTTCTGATATCCGAGTCTCTCACAAGCGGGTTCGGCTCCAGTAGATGTCAGAGAACACATTATACAAAAGTTGCAGCGATCGGGCAGCTGCCTATTGTTTCAAGATTCGTTGGAAGAAATATCTACCGACAATGAAGACGGTCATGACGCAGAGGATGATGTCCATACGACACAGATGAGGGCACATTTTGTTGGGGACGATTCAGATGGAGCGGAGTCCCATTCAAATAGGAAGACTTGATGCGTGACATCGGAAAAACACTGCACTCATGATCACCACGCACAGGCGGCTAAAGTCACTGACGCAACACATTATCCCAGCGGCGGGCTGACACGGACATCGTCCACAGCAGTCTCCATCTCGTAACTAAGCGAGACTCTCCATCTGAAGGGAGGTGTAGCCCGATCGCGGGATCATCAAGCACACTCGGGAAGATCCCACGTTCACGATCCGAAAACTTCGCATCGACAATAACTCCATTCAGCCCGCCAGGGGCAGCTCACGGCGAGGGACCCGGCGCGGGGAAGGGATAGAGGGGCTTCGGCGAAAAGGGTTTGGGCGCGATCGCGCCGAAACGAGGCTCCAATATTTCCCTATGCAGCCCAGCAGAGGAGCAGCAACAAATGGACAGAGGCGGTAAAAGCCCAGAGCCAACTCCGAACTTCAATATAATTCAGATTCTCAGAAACACCCTCAGCTCAGACTACTGCTGGGTTGCCGCGAATTCCAGAAGAAATTAAAAGCTCGATATACTCCGATGGAGATTTTAAAATCACAAAGGTATCGGTCCCACTCGTCCTCAGCTCAAGGCTAAGCGCCGCCGAACTGCCTCGTTTGAGACTGACTCGAATGAAAGCATTGATTCCGTTAAGGTAAGATCGACCTGGTTTGCGGAGAACGAGCCGTAATAGTCGGCGTATCACTCGAGCCCCAAGACCCGGATTTTATTTCTCAACACGTCTATATACAAGGATGAGCTAGATCTCTATCGGTCAGTTTTATTCTTTCTAGTGTGCGGAGTCAACGAACTGAACTTCACTCAGGAGCAACACTGACTTCGGGAGAGGTCGTGGTTGCGGTGACAGAACCGTGATGGTGTTGCGCTCTGTATCAACGTTGGTGACGCAGAGGAATCCTGCCACGTTGCTGAGGATGATGTCTTCATCTTGGTCGCCCGGCGATGCGAAGGATACCGCGAGGATGTGGTGTAGAAGCGAGGCGGGACTGTGAATCTCCACGAGTTTCGTTTTGTTGTTCTCAACCTTCACGCCTGCAGAGCAACGCCTGTTAGTTGACCACCGTAAACGTGACCTCTAGCGCGCGGAAAATGGATCGAGGGAGAATATCGGTTCGGAACTCACCCAACGGCATGCACGAGTCCGGTAGGGCGGGGGCACCTATTTTGTAGATTTTGACCTCGTTGAACTTGACGTCGAATGAGTGAGGATACAGTGCCGTTTTCAGTCCATAGAAATACTGTTTCACAGCGGCTTCACGGGCGTCGACGCGATTCTTCTTGACTCGTTCCACGACGCCGCCAGATTTTGGCGTGAAAACTACGTTCACGAAAGCGGGCAGATCTCGGACCATTTCGTTGTACAATCTCTCCTGGTCCATGACGAGGACGACGTCCGCTTCAAAATTCAAAACCGCGTTGAGCAGAGCCCTGTAGCCGGATTGCTTCACCTGTAGGAACAATTCACTCTCAATTCACTTTATAAACGATGGACTTTGAGAATTAGAAAGGTGAATGCTGCGATATCGATCCGGTATCGATATCGGAGCGACTGTGCTCCTCATCGAGCAAGGAATCTAAAGGAGCTATCCACGAGACGAGAACTCACCCATCCGCAGGTGTTGATTATCACTCCGCTGTGGGACGCTCGTTTGTTGACGTTTGCTCTACTTTGCAAAACTTGCGCAAGCTTCTGCGTCAACATATTATACAGTTCAATGTTTTCCCCCGGACTGATGTGACCGAAATGGAAAACCAGTGGTCCTTGCTGACTGAAGCCCTCCTCGACATCGGACGGTCTCTCGACCAATACCGCGCCTATAGTGCCGGGGAGGGAGATCTGACCCTGACCTACGTCCAGGTCTGCGAACACCGGTCGACGTCCCTGCCGCACGGCGTAGTTCAGTAGAATTTTGCAGAGAGTGGACTTCCCAACGTCGGTCGGACCGACCACCATCACCGTAGGACCTTTGGTTCCCTTCTGCTCCGCTTTCTGACGCATTTGTTCCAGGACAGCGTGGATATTGGCATATATGACCATTGGAGTTTCTTTGGAAACGTAAACAACTTCCGTGGTGCCGAACAAGCGCAAGGTACATCCATGCCATGTGAAAACAGCGATCTTTGAGCCTGAAAGAGTCCGATATTAGAGAGTGCCGTCGTCTCCCTCTCGAACAACCGTGTCAAATGTGATTTCGAGTACTGACCGCTTGTGAAAACGTATTCTTTGTCTTTGACAATCTCGACACCGAATATTTCCGCGAATCCCTCCACCAGCTCGAGTCGGACTGTGTGGGGAGCTTCGACCTCGAAGCGGAGTTCATTCTCCTTCTCCAATTTGAAATCCTGCTTCGACTCCGCTTCTGCCATCTGGAACCAGTCGGGGTAACACCGTCACGGAGACGTGTAGGGAACACTACACCGGTTTGTTTGTTTTGGCGCCGCGAGAACACCTGAGTGCGGACTCCTGGCCACTGGCCACAAGGCAAAATTCAAGATGGCGGCTTGAGCGGGTGTCTTGGAGAAGAGAAGCATTTAGTTGAGACGAGAGCGCGCGACTTGAAATTCTGGAGCTCGACTCAAGTGAATTCCTTGAAGGGTATATTCGGGCAAGTGGAAGACATTAAGAGTGAAGAGGCTGCCCGGCCGACTACCGGTGCCAGTCAAATATCACCATCGAAATTTTCACTTCACCACTCTCCGGATTCTCGCTCAGACACTCCTCACTCCGGCCATCAATCGAGAATGGTGAGATTTGACAGTGAGATTCGACTTCATCATGTGGGAGGAGGGCTCGCCGTCCTTCCGTTCTGAATATCGAACCAGGAGGCACATCGGGGGAAAATTGTAATTTTTGGTCTGTACGCTTATGACGGGCTGGCTCAATATGGTTTATATCACACAGCATGTGATCGACCGCCAGATGGATCATGAATCATCACATCGGATACATCATTAGCATTAGCGATGCAATCGGCGACTTTCCCCAGAAACTCTCATTGAAGTGCTCGGGTCCTGGGGAAATCTGACCGACCGCCGCCTTTCAGCTTCAAGGTCGCATGAAGCTCATCGCGCGGCGCTCGCCGAGGGACCTCATCAAGCCGTCTTCTAACGCCGACCTGGAGCGACCCGAAACGCCTCCTCCGTGTCCCGCTTAGCCGCGCCATCAAATCCCAGAGCTCCGCTGACCATCGAAGCAGTGCGTGAAACCCGGAATCGAGTTCCGTGTCATTTCCTTGGAGGCTGAATTCGCGAAAAAGCCTGCTTTAATTCGTTTCTCGTGGTGTCTCGAGGTCGAGCAATCAGCGACATCGAGCAGAGTCTCGTTGGCTCGGATCTAGTATCGGTAAGTTGTCCCGATTTGGGACACGTGTAACACCTGAAAAATCTCGAGTCCCAGAGTGAATCTCGATATGTAGAGGGATTCAGGATGCCGGAGTGACATCCGACGCGCTACTGTCAGAGAGCTGTGAGACCATATATGCGTCTCGGGATAGATACCCACCCCTTGATATGTTCCGTCCCCACTTCCCCTTTTCGACATAGGAAATTACTGCAACGCTGTTATTGGTAGTTCAGATCGTGAGAGACTTCCCGCTTACGAAATCGTTCTTCCGGAACAGGAACAACTCGAGCGCTAGCGAGAATCATGACTGAATCACAGCGAATCGCAGTTTGTATTCTCCGACATTTGCGGGAGGAACTCAATAGTGCCCTCGTCTCAGAAGAGAGCAAAGAGAGTCTGGAGGGTGAGTTGTGGACGGTTCACCGAGAACTCATGCGACGTGCCTAACACTTCGGAACTTCTCACCGTCTACCAAACGTACCGATGGGAAGAGTAACCCAATGGATGACCTTACAGTTGCGATTCAATGCTTGGAGAGCGTCTATGAAATCGGCCCGGACGATATGGTTGCGTTGGCTGTCAAGGAAACTCTACCGAGCATGTTCAGGGCGGCGACCGGAGGAGAAAAGGTGAGTGGGAATCCGAAGAAGAACCAGATATCAGACCACCCTCGACTCGAGAGGTGAACTCCGCTGAACTCGGCGGCTCCCTTACAGAGCTCCTTCAGAGGACAAACCTCGTCCAAAGCATCAGAACCGCCGAGGAAAGATCCAATTCCCGAGGCGGAACAAGCGAAAGTACAGGGCAACGAATTATTGAAAAACAAGAAATACCTCGAAGCGCTGGAGATGTATTCGAAAGCAATCGATCTCGATCCCCAAAACGCGGTCTATTTCTGCAATCGAGCGGCGGCCTTCAGCAAACTAGACAAAAGTCAAGAAGCGATCGCAGACTGCGAGGCAGCCCTCACCATCGATCCGACTTACTCGAAAGCGTACGGCAGAATGGGAATCGCCTACGCAGCTACGGGAGATCATCAGAAAGCCCTCGAATGCTACCAGAAGGCCTTAGAACACGATCCGAATAATGAAAGTTATCAGAACAATGTTCGAGTCGCTCAAGAACAGCTCAAGGTTCGCAGATTTCCAATCTTCCTATCTCCAAACAAACATTCATAAGCTGATATATCCCTCACAAGATATTTCCAATGCAACCTTCCGAAACTTCTAGGGTACAACAGGAGGCCGGAGCTCGAGCGGCGGATCAGCTGGCGGCGCTGGCGGTCCTGGACTGGGTCTCGGTGGCGGACTTGGCGGTATGCCAGATTTCACACAGCTCCTAGGGAACCCCGCCTTGATGAACATGGCCACTCAGATTATGCAAGACCCCGGGATGCAGAACCTTATGACCAACATCATGTCTGGAACCTTGAGTGCCGGTCAGCAGCAGCCGGCACCGGAGCAGCAACAACAAGCACCGAGTGCACAGGCACCTCCCGCCGAGGGCGATGCCGCAAGTCAACTCGGCGGATTCAACATCGACAACTTACTGCGGGCGTAAGTAGGTTCACACGAGTTTCGGGGCCTCTGGGCTCGACGTGGCGAAAGATAAGCAAGCACATCTGACTATATCAGAGTGCCATTTCGCGCCATAGGATGAGGGCGAGTGCGGTCGGCGGTAATTCCCAAGATCTGCTTCTCGGGAGAATCGGCATCAGGAGTCGTCCTTTCGGAATAATCATGGCCTGATATCGATTTCAGAGGTCAGCAATTCGCTCAGGCGATGCAAAGTAACCACGGACCCATCATTGATCAACTGCGGCGAGAAATGGAATCGAGAGGGGTCAACCCGCCCTCTGGGGATAATAATCCGAACAACAATGGGGGGAGCTAAATGAAGCCCGGTAACCTAAGAAATGCATCAATAAATACTCTCACGTCCTCGTGTTGACGGACCGCATTAATTGAAGCGAATCAATGGAGAAATCATCAACTGACTGTGGGATCCGCCGCGGCTTCCCTTCGGAGGAACACACTCATGATCACACTCTCATGAGCGAGGGAGAAGTCCTCCAGCAGAGCCCCTTCTTACTGAGTCAAAGTTCAGCTATCGAGCTGGAGATCCTGTCTCCTCTGCTGCCTCCCAAGTGAAATCCGTCCTCGCGTTCGAGCCAGCTCCCGAATTTCCTGAAACGTTCCTGAGGATTCGCCGAGTTCCGTGTACCTAATTCATTAGCAGCCTGAGAAACATCTTCGGGGAGGGCGTCCTCTCGAGGAGAAACCTTTCTTGACCACCGCGGAATCCGCTTCGAGCCTCCCTCTCCTGAGCCTAGCCCTTCGTCGGATTATTCATTCGAAATTCGAGATGTCAGTCCCATCCGAGGATTCTCGGTCTAATTCGATTTCTCGACAATTCAGGGATTCGATGAAGAGCCATGCCTACACATACTTCTCTCTGGTAGGAGAGGGACGCTGATATCCGATATCGACATATTAGTACATTTTTCCATCGACAGGAAGTCTTTTCCGCATCAGAAAACTGTATCACATTGGGAGTTGGAGCGCCGGCGAGAGGCGACTCACCGGCGGTCTGTTCACGCAGAGATGGACGTTTTGGGTGGGGGGGAGGTCGCGAGCAGATATTGTCAGACACTGTCAGATCACGGAAAATCGCGCTTTATTAATAGGGGGCTTCATCGAAAACCTGCGTCGGCAGACTTTCGCGAGGAATTCCTTGAAGGCGACAGATAGATGATCTCTTGGAGATGGCATCCCATAAGATGATTCCAAGCTCCCCCTGAGAGGCCAGGCTCCCCAGGCCGTCCGAGCCCGGGCGCGCTGGCCGTTCGGAGGGCCCTGTTGGCGTCCGAAGTCATGCGGTGTTGCCTTGCAAAGGATCGATCTCTCTAGGGTTGAATCGTTATGCGTCTGGTGAAGGACTGAGGGCCAGGATCCCACGGGATCACCCAAAGCTTTCCAAGGGGAGAAGTGACTGTGAAGGTGGGCGAGGAGTCGGAGTACACCCGATTCGGATCGAGCTGCAGGCAGAAATCATCGATGTCGTAGTCTAAGAATTCCTCTGTGAGAAAGTTTCCCTCCTGGAAACCTGAGCCGAAATCGTCCCCCCACACGACCTGCATCATACCATACGCAGGGACTATATCTCACACCCGCTGAACACGACTATGAGCTGTTTAAGATTCGTACAGCCATCGTACTCGTCAACAACTGGCCGGCGGCGCGCTCCTCCCCCCGGTCGTCTGCTTCACTTGCTCGAAAAATTCCTTCGAACGGCAGTGGTAGCCGCATACCACGTGTGATGAAGTCGGCGGAGTGTCATCCATCCATTCATCAATCTGTTGCCGCCGCACCGCTCCAAGACCCCGAGACCATAACGGCACTTGGAGAGAATGGGGTTCCTGAATCGGAGAAAAGATATCGTCTATGTCGAACATCCAGGACCAATATACTGAGACCAGCTCCGAACATGGACGCTCGATAGGTTTCTCCGGGATCGATCATACGGCAGAACTCCCCACGAGAAGAGTCGTCGCAGCGGCACCGACAGGCGATACGAGCGACAAGCCAGCGCCGACAGCGATGTCATACATGCGACCGCTGTTGTTGTGGAAACGCGATACTCAGTCAGTCAGTAGCTTCGCGCAAAATATTGGACCGTCAGGAGAACGAAGAGGGGATGCTTTCCGCATAGAAAGCGAATCGAGGGCGGCGGACTGGTGTACGGATGGGGGATGTTATAAATTCCCAGACAACGGAGGAAGTTTCAGGGGGAGCCCGCTTGACAGCTGTGGACCGCTTCGGACGGATTCGAAGGGAATCGAACGTCGAATTGGATTCCAGTCCCAGTGAGCAAGGACCGGGTCTCAATTGTCGCCGCTTCGTGCCTTGGCAGATATAGCGGAGAGTGAGTAAAATAGAATCGGCCCAGGCAGCGACGATCACTGCCGGCCGGCCGGCCACGTTGCGCCTGGTTGCAGCCCTAGCCACCAGGTGGTGCTGATACTGGACATGATTTTTTTGCGGGACTTGGACTCGGAAATAGTGTTGAAAACCCATCAACGGAGCTTCTCCTATCGAAACTCGCACCTTCCCCATCGAAGTGACATCGGTAGTTCACTTTAGACAATGATCGGGAGAAAATCCAGATCCAGCGTCGTCTGCTGCAGACGGAGAGGATGTGGCTACTATAAAAGCGAAGCGCGCCATGTTGGAGGCCTTCACTCCGTTCTCGTTCTCATAGTGAACGTCGGTTACGCATCCAACTTCCCAACATGCCGAAGGAAAAGACTCACATCAACATCGTGGTCATCGGCCACGTCGATTCCGGTGAGTCTCCTTGCATCAATTAATTGCGCCGGGAAATTCGGTCGCGTTCGGTGTCAAGTTCGCGGTGAAATTCCTATGGGGAGCATCGATAAATTCCGAGCTTCTCCGGATGCCGACGACGCCGGCCAGACCACGCCGTACCGGATTTCGTGCCGAAGCTCAATTTTGGACTTGAGCAGTTGAATCAAAAGCTGGTGCAGGTGTTGCACACCGTGGCGGCATGTAACTGCTCGACTGACAGAATCGAGAATTGTGACATTTCGCTGTAATTTCTAGTTTTCCTGCTAAGCCTATCTCCACGTTGCCGGGTGCTGCCCTCTATGGCCGTGGCTTTTTCACAATGGCGTCAAGGCGTCGCTATCGGAGACGGCGGTTCTTCTCCGGTGATGGTCGAGGCGTTTTATCAAGAACGAGCCAACTTCTGGGAAGCGGGTCGAAACTCGATGAGGTACCGGGTTCGGCAGTCGAGTTAATAAACTACCTTTTCTTTGTCTCCAGGCAAGTCGACCACCACCGGTCACTTGATCTACAAATGCGGAGGTATCGACAAGCGTACCATCGAGAAGTTCGAGAAGGAGGCCCAAGAAATGGGCAAGGGTTCCTTCAAGTACGCTTGGGTACTCGACAAACTGAAGGCTGAGCGTGAACGTGGTATCACCATCGATATCACCCTGTGGAAGTTCGAAACTCCCAAGTACTACGTCACCGTCATTGACGCTCCCGGACATCGTGATTTCATCAAGAACATGATCACCGGAACTTCCCAGGCCGATTGTGCCATCCTTGTCTGTCCCGCCGGTACCGGAGAATTCGAGGCCGGTATCTCCAAGAACGGTCAGACTCGTGAGCACGCTCTTCTCGCCTACACCCTTGGTGTGAAGCAGATGATCGTCGGTGTGAACAAGATGGACACCTCTGAGCCGCCGTACTCCGAGGCTCGATTCGAGGAAATCAAGAAGGAGGTCTCGTCGTACATCAAGAAGATCGGATACAACCCCGCCACGGTTCCCTTCGTCCCCATTTCTGGATGGGCTGGAGACAACATGCTTGAGCCCTCTCCCAACATGACTTGGTACAAGGGATGGCAGATCGAGCGAAAAAATCAGAAGTTTGAAGGCAAGACCCTTCTCCAGGCCCTCGATGTCATGGAGCCGCCCACCAGGCCCACCGACAAGCCGCTTCGTCTTCCCCTCCAGGACGTCTACAAGATCGGCGGTATCGGAACAGTGCCCGTGGGCCGTGTCGAAACCGGTGTCATCAAGCCCGGTATGGTGGTCACCTTCGCGCCGTCCAACCTCACCACTGAAGTCAAGTCCGTCGAAATGCACCACGAATCTCTCCCCGAGGCCGTACCCGGAGACAACGTTGGTTTCAACGTGAAGAACGTCTCTGTCAAGGAACTCAAGCGAGGATTCGTCTGCGGAGACTCCAAGGACAACCCTCCCAAGGAGACCGGATGCTTCGACGCTCAGGTCATCGTTCTCAACCACCCTGGTCAGATCCAGAACGGTTACTCGCCTGTGCTCGATTGCCACACGGCGCACATTGCCTGCCGTTTCAGGGAAATCAAGGAGAAGTGCGACCGTCGTACCGGCAAGAAGCTCGAGGATCTCCCCAAGTTCATCAAGACCGGAGATGCTGCCATCGTCGACCTTGTTCCTCAGAAGCCCATGTGCGTCGAGTCCTACACGGACTTCCCTCCTCTTGGACGTTTCGCTGTTCGTGACATGAGACAGACGGTTGCTGTCGGTGTCATCAAGTCCGTCAAGGCCAAGGAGGTCTCCGGTGGCAAGGTCACCAAGGCCGCCGAGAAGGCTGCCAAGAAGAAGTAAACGAATCCGAAACAAAAACTTACCAACCGACGCGCGGGGAACGAGTTTTTGCTCTTCTCCTTTCATCGGGGTTGATCTATTTAATTTGTTGTAAAAACAATAAACCCTTTCTACGACATTCCTCGCTTTTTCCATGGGAACGACTCAGAGGCGAGGAGCTCGAGCGACGGGCTTAGAGGGACTTTGCCTTGGGAATCATTATTTCGTGTTTTTCTCCTCTGGACAGGAGAGCACCGATTTCAAGCATGAGAATTCCATCGCTCGGAATATTAGTGTTCAATCGAAGAGATCGCAATAGGGAGGGAAATGAGAGATGTTTCGGGACCTCGCTCCGCCTGATTCTCAGCGAGGTTCCCACACACATGCCGGAGTATGCAGGAGAATCTTTCCTGGGAATGAAGATCTTTCAATTTATTTCAAGTATATAATATGTAGAGTAATTTCTGGGAATGTAGGTATCTCGTTTTCTCCACGTTCTTCCACTACGTTCGGCTCTCGTACGAATCTCGCCATCGAGTGGGGGCATGGGTGAAAGGGAGATTATCTATTGATAAAGACCAGACTTTTCGAGCTGTGGGAAGGTATCCTGGAGATTGGCTTCCGATGCCTCGTGGTGTCATGGCGGCGCGGCGCCCGGCGACTGCAAGCATGAAAGTTGAATCCTCTTTCCCGATTGCTGCGGTCCCATTTGATACTACGGAATACGTGGCTCTCGGCGGACTGATCCGAGCAAGCTCATCAGGAGACCGGCCCGGGTCCGAGACTTCCCGATCCACCAAGTCGAATTGTATTATTTTCTTCAACCTGAAGGAAGCTAGCCCGGTCCGGAGTTGTCTCCGTTCAGCCCCTAGTCCCTTCCTCTGATCGGTCTGACTGAGTCTAGAACGCCGGGGGTCGGAGAGGTTCAATCGATCAATGGCTTCTCAGTTCATCAATCGAGGAACGTTCAGTCCAGCACCACCGAAGAGAGCTCAAAGCGCGGGATACGTGCACGTCGTCGGCCGAGAACAACAACAAACAGCATCAGTCGACTCATTGCGATGGCTCCGGCAAAAAATGGGTTAGAATTCTAGATTACATTGCCCAGAGCGTCTCGAGCGATTCCCAGAGCTAAGGTTGTGATCAGGGAACCATAACTTGTGTTATAGCTCGGAGTCCCGTCCGCGGAAGTCGAAACCGCTGGAGTCGACGCGTATCAGTGGCGTGAACAACCGGGAGGAAAATGAACCCACCAAGGAGAACGAGAAACAGAAGAACGTGGTGGAGAAGTCGCACCAAGTCCTCAGCGTGGGAGATGATACACTTAATGACTCTGAAAACTCAGTCGGTCTCGATGCGACTTTCACAGTCGAACGCAATCACCTGAAGAACGAGTTCAATGGTCTCAATCATCGGTAAGTTCATATTCCTTTCTGTTAGGGAGTCTTCGATCCATCTTCCTCCCGAATCGACAAATATCACGAAACGATCCGGCGATCGTTGATTACGAATCTTCCAGGCTGATCTCTTACATGGATCGCGTCAAACAGAACGAAACGCTGTTGATGAAAGCCGAAACCGAGAGGGAAGTCATTCAAGAACAATTGGAGCAGAATCGGGCAGAGCATACCAAGCAACTCGAGATGCTCCGCTCCGAGCTCGATGAACATATCCGTCATGCTGTTATGGCGGAGGAGAAACAAGCTCAGCTGGAGAAGAAGGTTCAAAACCTCGTTGAAGAAAGAAAAAACCTCAAAGCCGAGAACGCCTCTCGTTGTCAGAGAGAAGCTAGTCTGGAGCGGGCTCTGGTATCTGAGAGGAATGAACTCCGAGGAGCTCGCAATAAAATCTCAAAGCTCCAAGAGCAGATCGAGCGCGAGGAAGAGCAACGGAAACTTATCAGCGAGGACTTCACGAGGCTCAAGGTCGAGCACGCGAAGCTGAACGAGCGGATGAAAATCGCCAGCATGGAATTGACCATGCAAGAGAGCAAGGCGTCCGAAGCTGAGAAAAAACTTCAGTACAGTTCAGAGGACGTGAGGAAGAAACTTCACGAGCAACGCACTCAGCTGGAGAAGCTCGGACTGGAGAAACTCGAAGAAATCCGGCGGAAACATCAGGCCGAGTTGGTACGTCTGAAGAAAGAATACCTCATAGACAAACAGAACACGTTGATAACTTACGTGAACGCTGAGGAGTATGCAAAGCTGGACACAAAGTTGAAAGAAGCCTTACTGAAACTGGACGAGACGGAAATGATTCTCAAGGACCGGGAGGAAAAACTACGCGCCGCAGAGGAACGCTTCGCTGGTTTGACTAGCGCTCACGAGAAAGAAATCGCGAAAGAACGAAGACGGCGCGAACGTCTCAACAAGAAGCTCATAGAGCAGGATAAGAACCACGAAGACATCCGGCTGGAGCTCGAGAATTACAGGAAACTAATCGAAGGCCTCGATATCAATGAGAACTCCATGCTCAACACTCCGTTCGGCGCGAAACGGAGTCGACCTGCTTTCGATGCTTCGACAACGTCTGAAATACCGGTTAAGAAGTCGGAAAATACCGTCACGCCATTGATAGAAGCACGTAAGGTTCTCGCACGTCGAGTTTTGACACCAATACGACGGGTCTCGGCGCCGGAAGTAGTCCATCGGACTTCGTCCGCGACACCAGCAAGTGCGAAGGTAAGGCGACTTGGGGCTCTGTGACTTCACGAACATTCCGCTTCGACGAGCCACCGTATGAGTCGAGCAAGAGTTGCTCGAAGGATGAGTATCCCGAGAGATTCAGTGAGCTGGTTTCGTTTACAGGACACGACGGAAGATCGGAGCGGACTACAGAGGGATTGTAGAATGATGTGAAGGCCCGGAAGAGCGGAGCAGATTGATCTGGTGGATAGCTGAGAGAGGTCGAATTTTAGCGAGGACACCCTGGGTTTTGTTTGTCCTGTGTGTAAAAATATGATCGTTTTGGAAGATTGAAATCACATGTGGGTCAGAGTTGATTCTGTTGACGATCAATAAACATTGATTCAAGATCCCTCCGTTTTCCTGACTCCTTCCGTATGCTGAACCTGTGCTGTTCTTCCAGGCTCCGAGCCGGGATGGACGCGGAGGTCCAGCACCATCGCTTCTAGGATCCATCCGGATCATCCAAGTTTTTGAATCGCTGCTGCGGGTATACCTTCCCGGGTAACCGATTCCGGCTCCTGCCCGAAGCCTCCAATAATAATTCTCTGAAGACTTCTTCCACCTCTCTGATTGTTCGAGAATTACTAGCGTGAGCCTGCAAGTTCGGCTCCGGAGTCCGATTGGGAGATATGCATCGTCTATAGAGGTAGCACCCGTGGAGAGCTTGCTCACGTGAGTCTCCCAGCCCTTGGAAGGAGGAGTCTCTATAGAATGCGATCTGCAGGGGACAAGCTTCCTGAGGCATGCTCGAGACGATCATGTTGGACGGAGACGAAGGAGGTCGAAATACGCCTCCTATACCGAATGGTCGAAATTCCGCACATGACCAAGATACCTAAGCTTATGTTACTCCTCGGGGTGCCAGTGTGCTTGTGTAAGACCTCGATCTTGGGAGAGTCTCCGTGAGCTTTGGAGAGCTTCTTCCCAAACGTGAGCCGAGTCCTTCCATAGTGGTCTGGCACATGCTCGTACTACTACTTCCGAAGCATTCCGATAGGTCGACCGGCGAGGGAGGAGATAGATCCTCGGTCCTAGACAATACGACAGCTAAATGTAGGTACCTGCCTGCCGGCGTCAAGTGAAGCCACGAATCGGCAGCTCTCTACAGACACGAGGTTTCCGAGAAGGTTTATCGAAGAACAAGTGGCCAATCCCGAATCAATATGCATGAAGAAATTCCCCCCCCCCCGGGGAAAAATTCGATATAAAAGCTCAGCAGACAATTCTCTCAAAAATGAGGACTCTTGAGGACTTCGGCGTATATCTCGATATTCCCGAGCTGTCGCGATCGAGAGAACCTCTACAGCAACCCTCTCGGAGGAGTTCTGTTCCGGTGAATGTCAAGACAGACGGCCGGTAGCGACCTTTGACACCCATGACGCATATGATGGAGCAACGTGCAGCGACCTTTATCAGGAATGCGTTCGTAACACCCCGGGGAGGGAAGAGCACCTAAGCTGATTCAACGAAACCGATCGTTGGTGAGTATTGGTGACTCTTCCCTCCGAGCGGATCTCTAGCCTCTCAAAGGTCACCGCAGCTTTTTTTCCCACGAAAGCTGGTCGAGCGATGGCTTCATGATTCATGATGCCTGACCCAGACGGAGGCTTCCGATCTCTATTCAGAGGAATATGAAGGGCAACATCTTTTTCGGGGAGGGGAAAGTCAGTGCTTTCGAGATACGCGATTCTGTCGATACCTTCTCAACTCTCGGAGCTTCGATACCTTTTTTCTGTTTCGACGGGCGCGTACAAATGTCGGGATTCCGAGCTGTACAATCCAAGCTTGTGCATAAGATATCGTCTCCCCTTGATCATCAAGGAGCAGAGAGAATTGAAATAAGAAATCCAATCCGATCAGCCAAACAGGCGGAGATGATGCGTCGGGAGCGCTGTGACTTTTGGTGCCGGATTACAATTATTTTTAGCTTGGTGCTTACCGGAGCGGAAAGTGGATGTTTATTGGATTGTGGTAGGGAGCCTCGCGACCGGTCTCTCCTCGAACGGATCGGGAGGATTCCGACAGTCAGGCGATCGGTATTCTCCTCGGATTCAGGTTCCTTGTGACGAAGGAGGCAATTTGAGCTAAATGTGATTATCTCTGCGAGCGTTGTTTAAGGGAGAGTCGGCACGTGGAGCCGACAAATCGTAGGATGATTATCTCTCGAGGAATGCCTGAATTAGATTGATCCGCGGGAACGCGGCTCGATTACGATAGAACCGACGTCAGGATTCCGATCGCGAGTGGCGGAGGACCGAAGAAGCTCTCCGAGGGACAGCTGGCGGGCGAATGGACACATATTCGAATGCCTCTGAGCTCCCACTGGCCGATCGGGTGGATTCCCGATCCCCGCGATCTTGCTCCGCATCCCCACGTGCTGGGGATCCCATGGGGGTGGAGGGAGTAAATTACCACGGTTGAAATCCTCGAAGCCCAGCGAACGATCAGGAGGGATTTGATCCGAATTGGCAGAGTTCTAGCACCTTCACATCGATAGGCGACCGGAACGGGAAGGCTATAAAGGTTCCAGATTTCAATGACGGCGGGCTGGCTCTTCTTGGAAGCACAGGAGGAGGTGAGGAATCTGTCTCAAATGTCGAAACTGGGGGTGTTTTTTCCAAACATTATCATATAACCGTCGCTCACCCACAATCGCTCCATTGTTCTGCGCGGAACTCCCGGAAGTCTGCTTCATATCCCTGCCTCCCCGGGCAAGCATCTCGAGGAGTTGTGAGATCGGTGAATTTCCCCCGAGAGGTGCCGATACAATGTTCCGGGCTGCGAATTATGAGCTCTGAGAGAAAATTTCCGAACGAGGATTGGCAACACGGGATGGTACACTCAACAGATATGTTCGTGGCCGACCTTTCCTTTTCTCGAGTCTACGCCGCTGGAGGAGACTCCCGACGCCCCCCGGAGTCGGAAATAACGCAGCTCTCAGAGTCTGGACCTATCTTGAAGGAACGGTGACATGCGGGTCCTTTCTGACGAGAGATCGCTGACTGCGCAGCTCATCCGCTCCGATAAGCAGCGATTCTTATGAAATACCGAGGCCGAGCTCCGAGCAATCACATTCGACGAACGCTGTTCCGAACATCATTGGATCGAGCGAACGAGGTCCAGACGATAGACGAGACCATCATTTTCCAGACGACTTCCCTCGAAGATTCGAAGTCGTTCCGATAACTGGAGCTCTGAATGGCATTCACGATTCGAGTCGAAAGCACTTCGATTGTGCCGGAGGAACCCACGCGCTAATCTTCCGACTCTGGGGCAGAATACATATCGTATGCATTAGCTCGTACCCGCATTGGCTCGTTCCCAGGGGAGGAAAGCACTGCATTGCACCCTGATTCATCGGATTTGTCTGCGAAGCACGACTCAGGCTTTGCAGGAAATTTAAGAATCAAGGACAAGCAGGTACTTAGGAGAGTCACGAAAATCTCAATCGTTCGCACTCGACCTCGAGTGGATTCTAGATCTCCTCTCCGAAAGCCTATGATCCAACACAAAGTATCCTGGCGTGGGGCGGAGCCGACGCGAGGATTCAGCGCAGGATCGTGGCCCCGCCTCGGAGTGTGGACTAGCACTGCACAGTGAGATGACAATTAATACGTCGTATGCGGAGGACGGAGAGCCGCTCACTTCCGATTATTCTTCTGCGGGAGCGCAGAGAGCTCTTCACCGAAAGGTCGATCCATACGGGAGAAGCGACTCCCGCTGCACTGAACGAGCATACCCCGTAGAGCCGTAGAGGATTCGCCTCACCATCCTCCACGGGGGATGCCTATCTCGAAGTCGTAAAAAGAATTTTATCAATGGAGGGAGGATCATTCACGCCAAGGGATTCCCGATTCGGGGGGAAGGAAAGGAACGGATTGCGGAGAATTCTTCATTCCTTTATTTTTCATGTTAACTAAAATGTCGTCGCAGCGAGAGCATTGGATCGGCGAGGCATCGAGGAACGATTTTCGGTACGACAACAGAGAAAAGAGATATGATCCTGACGCAGCGCTATGAATGTTAAAAGACAAAGCTTTAAACCGATCTGAACCTGGACTCGACGATCTCGGAGGATCGAGGGAGCGTAGAAGTGCGTGAACCGGCTCGCTAGCTCATTTGATGACGGCCAAGGCTCGTTTCTTTACTTTCGGCCCCGTGAAAAGCACGAACTCTATGACAAACGATTTGTTCAGGACGGAGCGGAGGGTTTCGTGTATCGTGTTCCCGATCGACATCACGATGTCTTCTCTGGTGGTATCCAACCAGACAGAGTAGTGCAGTCCGTCACCTTTCCAAGTACAGAACAATCCATTTATATGCGGAGTCAAACTGCCGAACTTGATGCCGCCGATAAGCATAAGAGCTAATTCTCGCCAGACGTCGGCAGCCAAAGGACCGTGGAGGCCATGAGCGAAGTTCCAGCGCCCTCCCTGAAATAAATTTCGATAGGATTATTTCGTCTGTCCTCCGTTCCGGCCGAGGCTGACGGAGAGTTCGAACGGGAGCCACAAAGTATCACGGAAAAAACTCGGAAATTCTCATTGTGAAGTATCCGATACGGGACACTCACTGTCGCATTGCGAGGATGTTCCCATTCGGGACGAATGTCATTCTTGAACATCAATATGGGTTTTTGCGCGATACGCGGATCCCTGATCTCGTTGAAGTTCACCCAGAAATCTTCAATTGTGTCGAACATGACACAGTGCTGAAGCGCTCTGCTCCAATGAACCTCTGGCGTCACAGCCCAAAAGTCCCAGGCGAATTCCAATGGGTGTTTGATGTCTTCCATGGGCTTGGGTTTCTTCAGCGACGATGCTCCTCTACGCCGGACGGCGGTGTCGCCGGCTGGATCGCCGCCTCGTTTGCCAGATTCATCCTCGGTTTTCTTATTGGCTCCGACGATTTCGCCTTCGGTCTTCACTTCAACCTTGATTACGGACTTCCCGAGGGTCCCCTGGGATTTTTCTTCGATGCGATCATCAGATTTCTTCGGGGTCAAATTATCTGAGTCATCTCCGACTGTTTCTACTGATTTCCCCTTGACCCAGGTATCAGACTTTCCCTGAAGCGCGCCACGCGTTTTCTCCGAGCTTCGCTTATCGAGCTCGTGCTGGCTCTTCCCATCAGGCTGTTCCTGCGTTCTGCCGTCGGTGACCACGTTCATTCTGTCGTCAGGCCGACCCACGGGCTTCTGACTTCGCGGACCGGCTCCGAGTCGAGTCTCGCTGTTTGGTTGTTCAGCTTCAACTTCCAGCTTGGGCTTTCGACCGGTCTCCACAGTAGACTGGTCTTCGATGGTTGTTGCTCCAACATCAACTTTTATATTGGTGGAGCCTGGAACTGTGAAGAAAATCGATTTTCGCGCCGAAGTTTCCTTTCCATCGGAGTTCCTTATTCTCGGATGTATTCCATCACATTGATGAGCGCGCACCAACCTGATTCGTCTCCCGGAGACCCTCGACCGGAATCGATGCCACTGTCGGAAGCCTGGGGCTCCGGAGTCGGGGTCATATGCGTCAGATCATTTGGGTCTTCCGTTTCAGAGTTGTCACTGAAGGGTTTCTTCTCGTCACCGTCGGCCCTCTGTTGCTGATTGTTTCTGTTGCGAGTTGCCATTTTGTTCTTCTTCTTCCCTTTCTTGTTCTTCGTCATAATTACTGCTTATCAGGTGATCGAGAGGACAATCAAAGAGAACTTATCTTGATCTTATCGGGGCCGCCGCGAGCACGAACACTGACACGAAGGTAAGAACACGGTGAATCACGACGTTGGGCGAACTCACTCGATGATTAGTATTGGGACAACAACGGACACATTCTATGGAGTCGCTCTGAGCCCGCGCATACAACCAAAACGCACGGCTTGACAAAGTAACACTTCTAATTGTTGCCGGCGTATCGGGGGTAGACAAAACAGCGTCGCACGTTGTGCGTTTCTTCGGGACAACCTGAAACGTGGTGGACGTGTGAGACTTCTCGAACATCGTCCCGAAGCCTCGGAGAATGATCGATGGGAGCTTCAGGGAATCTCTCCTGATATGAAACGATTTCCCGGAAGACTTCCTCAGCTTATATCTGGAGAGCAGCGGATTCAGCTCACTCGAAGAGGTGCAGTGAACCCACTGCTAGAAGCAATCGATTTGAAAAATCGGTTTCCCCTCGGGGTTCGGAGCTCGATTTTGGGGTTTGGACCTTCGATGGCGATGTAAATATCTCTTTCATAAGCCTCTCGAACAGCCCATCGTTCCCAGCACTCGCTCTATGAACTTGCGGGTGGCACGAAATACGTGCACTCGCGATGATCGGAGAGAGGTGCTAAAGCGACTAAAATGGGAATGATGCGAATCATTTCATTCGCCTCAGGAACTTCGAGATTCACTCCACAGCGGGAGGAGTCCCGGCAGAGTGAGTGAGAGATAGGTTTCAACAAATAAGTTGCGCAATCGATATTCAAGCTCGAGTCTCACCCGCGGCCCTGTCTGGCAGGAAACTGGTGACAAATTCGAGAAAAAACCGAGATTAGGAGGGATGAAGTAGTCTTAGCTTACCGATCGCGGATCAGAATCACTCACTGTGCGAGAGTCGAATCGAACGGCTGCTGTTTCCAGAGCGAGGGGAAGCGAGGGCACTCCATTTTTTCGAAAGTTCCATGTATCGGTGTGGCTATATTCTTCTGAACGAACGGAAGAGCGATGTGTGCTGATTGAGCAAGGAATATTCACATCGGGTATTTCTCCGTGAGGAAAGAAACTCTAGCTTTCCCATAGCGACTCATGTTTCAGTCTTAGCTTCTCAGGCGCCCGTTCTCTTTTTTTCGTCTTGAGAAGTTCAAGAGACATTGTTTCCGTTGTCGATACTCGACCAAGTCAGATGAACCCTTGGCCGATTCCGCTTTCAGCACGATTTCGGGAGGCAGCGAATGTGGTGTTCAATTTTCACCGACGGCGGCGTCTCTGCTTTCCACAGGAATGGGGTCGAGCCCTGTTGTCGCATCGGGTCTGCCTCGAAAATCTCTCCCTAGCTCGCGGATGAGACCCGGCTGATTGCCTTAGGGCAGCGGTTCCCAACCTTTTTGGCTCCGCGGCTCTCTAGCGAACCCAGAATTCCCACGCGGCTCCCAGGATACCCAGTGCCCACGCGGCTCCCAGGATACCCAGTGCCCACGCGGCTCCCGCGGCTCCTACCTACTCTCCCTTCTTTTTCCCCTAAAAGGACCATTCGCAGCTCAATTCCGGCAAGTGAGGCGGATGCAGCGGACTCTTCCGAGTATGAGAAATCAGAGCGAGATACTCACTGCGAAGACAATTTCATTTTATTCGCTTCGATAGAGTTGGGCGGAATAGGTTTGAACCGAATGGCGGGAACACAACCGTGGCAGATGAAGTCGATCCGTTCCGGAACCTTCCCTTGGAATTGACAAACCCTGACGGCCCGGACCCACTCCAGAATTTCGTCCGCGGCTCCCCCAGTAAAGTCCCGCGGCTCCCAGGTTGGGAACCGCTGCCTTAGGGATTGGTACTTGAAACACTCTGTAGGAGCCCCTAAAGAAGATACCCTCGCCCTTCTTGAGAAGCACTTTCTTACTTCAAATTTGATGGGAGCGGTCCCTTCCTCGAGGCGGTGAAGGGATGCAAGCTTTACACAGTGAAATCTCCGAGAGCCGGAATCAAAAATTAAAAACGATGCCGAATTCCGAGTAAAAGGTGTCGATCTCAATGTTGAGCCCCATATATCTCCTATCACTCGGGGGAAAGGGTGGAAATTCCGACTCATGGGATTCCGTATCGTAGGAAATGCACCGTATCCCGAAATCTTCGGTGAACTCAATGATCACGAAGATCGACTCGACACGATCAAACCCCGAGTACGAAAAGAACTCTCCAATTTATTGGGAAGAAATTATCATTCATTTAGTGATCGGTGAATCGTTAGGTCCATCAATGAGTATGTACATCTGCGTGCGGAATGATGAGCTCCGGAAGCCATCGAGAAGAATAAATATTCGTTCCTTGACTATTGTGGTTCCGTGGTTGCGGTGGTGAGACTAGACGAGGCTCCTCTATTTCTCCTCCCAGGCTCCAGCGGCATCGGGATTCGCATATCCTCCACCTCGATGACCTGCAGCCCCCGCGCTGCTCCCTCCGTGTAGTCGAGCGTTCGACAATTGGCTGTGATTGTCATAACCGCCAGCATAATTTCCTTGCGAAGCTCCTGGTGCGTCTTGAATGTCCTGCGGCGCTGTGGATCGGATGATGACGTCCGCGGGGTTTTTACTGGCGGTTCCAGGCTCATTGGTATCGATTTCGGCATGGAAGCCGCTTTGGTCCGCCATGTATTTCACCTGGAAAATGGAATTCATCCTATCCTGATTCCCCGATTCATTCCATTGATCGGCAAAGCGAGACTTCAACGATTTGTAGAGTAAAATCATTATTGTATCGTTAAGTGGAAATCGAATAATTAGCATCTGGAATATTCAAGAGTCTCGACTAGACTAGGGACCGTGAAGGGGGGAAGGGGGCATACCTTTCGATTGATGCCATCATTTGTCCTGATGGTGTAGATGCCCACAACTTTCCCGGTATCGTCTCCTTTTTCCTCGCGGTAAATGTTTCCTTCGTCGAGGTCGGCATTGTAACTGAACTCGTAGGGCATCGGAGCCCCATGACCACCAGCTTCATAATCGTGCGATCCACCTCCGTGGGAAGACGTCGGCCCGTATTGGGCATGCGCTCCAGACTGGGCGTCTGACCATCCGGCAGATTTAGCGGGGCCCGGTGCGTAACCAGCGTTCGCTCCATCGGGAGACCAACCACCAGCTGCCGGAGCGTGTTGCGGGGGGGCGCCATAGGAAGAAGTGGGGCGCTTCGCTATGGCTTGAGCCCCGTGATGAGAAGCACCATTGTTACTCGGAGTGTCGCCAATGGGGGCGTGGGATGGCTTGGAATGACCGTTGGAGGGAGAGGTCCATCCACCTGCGGCGGTCGGAGCTCCGCTATGGGATCCGTACGGCGAAGGGCTGCGTTGCGGACCGTAGTTTGGTTGAGCGTCGGAGCTCCAAGATGCCCCCGCCCCATTCGAATGCGCGGGTTTAGCCGCGCTGGACCAGCTCCCACCTGTCGGGGATCCGTAAGACGAGGGTCGATGAGGCGATGCGGCGGGTCCGGCACCTGCTGGCGCCCAGCTGCCGCCAGCGTTGGCGGAGGGTCCTCCGTATGAAGGTTGTCTGGGGCCGCTGTTCCCGTCGGAAGACCAGCCTGCAGACGATGAGTGACCACCGGACGGAGCGTACGAAGCCTGAGTCGGCCCCGCTCCGGACCAGGCTGCAGCATCGGCGGGCTTGTTCACCGGTCCATGGGATACCTGAGGTCGTTTCGGAGCCACGGTCGGTTGAGATCCAGACCAACCGCCTCCCGAGCCACCGGACGGAGCATACGGAGCCTGAGCAGAGCCCGCGTTCGATGGCGTCCAGCTGTTCCCTGCGTTCGCCGCCGGCCCGTACGAAACGTGGCCGCGTTTGGGAGCGACGGTCGGGCCAGAAGCCCCCCAGCTGTTTCCAGAGTTGAAGTTGCCGTTCGGCGCATAAGAGGATTTGGCGTTACCTTGACCGGATGGGGTCCAGCCCCCCTGGGCAACGGGTCCAGATGCCGGTCCGTAGGAGTTCTGAGGACGTCTGGGAGCGACTGTAGGCTGCTGTTGGTTCCATCCTCCTCCCTGACTATGGGAGCCACTGGATTGAGACCATCCGGCGTTGCTACCTGCGTTTGTGCTCGGACTGTAGGAGGCTGAGGGACGCTTCGGGGCTACTGTGGGTCCTACTGGCGACCATCCGTTCGAACCGCCGAAACCCCCGCTGGGGGAGTGAGGAGACGCGGCGCCACCGCCGTTGGTCCAACCCCCTCCTCCTCCGGGTTTCGGTGCGGGCCCGTAGGATGTTTGTGGTCGTCGAGGAGCAACAGTTGGTTGGGAGCCCTGTGAGCTCCATCCGTTGGAGTTACCGTAGCCCCCGGAATGGCCGTTAGAGGACGATTTGAAGCCGCCGCCGCCGCTGTTCGGAGACCATCCGCCATTGTTATTAGCAGCTGGGCCGGGACCATAAGAAGCAATATTGCGTTTCGGTGCAACACTTGGACCATTCGACGGTGACCATCCGCCGGAAGTAATTCCGTTTTGCGCGAAGGTCGGCTTCGATGCACCGAAGTTGCTGGCAGTCCAACCTCCCGACGATTGGTGCTTCGCAGATCCATAGGGGCTCGCTGGCTGTCTAGGTTCAATGAGGGGTCCGGATCCTGTCTGCGACCATCCTCCATTATTACCTGCCGGAGCGTAATTGTTCCCAAAAGAAGGTCCATTTGGAGGAGACCAACCACTGGATTGGGTCGGTTTCGATGGTCCGTATGGTGCGGCGGGTCTTCGTGGGGCTACTGTAGGTCCCGCGTTGGACCATCCGTTGGAATTTCCTGACGGGTATGACGGCCTGCCAGATCCGCCCTGATTGCCACCGTACGGTTTCACGTCAAAATCCCAGTCCTCGTCCTGCAAAATTGATATGCTTGAACCCGAAGTGTCGACAATGGAATTTTCGACTCTACGAGAGACTATAAGTGGGTATCTAGCTCAATATTCACGGAGTAAGTATGCACGGAAAATAGGTCTTGATAAGAAGTTATTCGAGGAACCTGTGAAATCTCCGGACGGGCGTATCCCGAGGGCTTGGCGGACGATTTCGGCGCTTGAGACGGAATAACGATCGCAGCAATTTGACCGCCGGAATTCGGGGAGCCGTATCCCCTAACGTCCATTGAGAAATCGTCATCCTGTCGGATCGTTGACGCGATAAATATACCAGCTCAGGTGGCAATCACAGATAATCTCATCGGTTAGGAGTTTGTACTCACCTCGTCCGGTCTGTTGTAGCCGGCCTCCGAGAGCTGGATCACGAGGGCTCCGACAAGGATCACAGTCACGTGGAGCTGGAGACATAAAAACTGTGATTTCAGATGTGTTGCTAAGCCATGAGCCATGATCAAACAAGGGGATAATTATCTATGACATCTTCCCCAATCGGAATTTGACGTTGTCCGGAGCATTAAAGCATTCCGACGTTGGATCAACGACCCACACGAACACGGAATGCGGGGGAAAAATGCTTCGCGTTCACACCGCACATCGACACGAACTACGCTCCCTGAGCGAGCACAGTACAGAAAATGGCGTATCCTCGATAGAGACTTGAGAGCTTACATACACGGTTCATTTTGGCCAACGGACGGCCCGGACCAGCTTATCTTGGTCGAGTGACCATAGCCTTATATATATCTAGGGATGATCTGTCGACAGAAGTGACCGGGTGAGGGATGACCCCAGATGCGCTTATGATGCGCACGCGTATTGCCCCTGGGTCCAGCGTTCCGAACATCTGGCAAGGGCATCATCTGCAAGAAGTGTTTCGTCAAAAAACCGTATTCGATACAGAATCAGAGCGGGCGAAGCTGCCGGGGATTTCTGAAGGATCCGATCGAACGGACGATAGATTATTATCGCTATCCGATGCCGTGCGTAGATGAAATTATATGTATCTTCGAAGCTTTCTGCCACCGAATGATTGACTATTGAGAATCGTTCGATTGTTCTACACAGCCCGAACGAATTCCGATGGATGGGAACAGGCAGTTTTCGAACTCGATTTCTTGATACGAGCGAGCAACCTCGTCCGCGGATCGAAACCACTACTTTCTCTCTCTGCGATGTGATTCGGAAGTTTCTTGGATTTATCAATCCTGTTGAGCTCAACGCGGCGGCGGGCCCGCTTACTCCGGATTCGGAAGGAGTTCCGAGAGGTGTCGTCGAAGGTCGTGCCGATCAATTATGATTAGCCGTGAATCCGGTAATTCATTATTCCATGTGATCTGACGGATCCCTCATCCAACGATAACGTCGGACGGTTTACGACATACGTGGCACTATTATGACATGCGGTTCAATTTTCCCATTTCAGTGCTGGTGGATCATCTCGTTGATATCGTGTCGGGTGAACACTTTGTCGATTCGACATAGCGTTTTCACCACAATAATAATACCGTGAGGAGCCTTTAGTCGATGAGGCAGAAGCCAGAGCACCTGCGTCACCTCATCGGTCAACTGATGAAAAGTTTTGTAAACCCCGTCTCGCTTCACACCATGGAACACTTGGGCTCCGCATATTTTAATATTATTCATCCGTATCTTCACTCCCAGGTACTTAAAATGAGCAATTAATCCGACGCAAAGATGAAATCCTTTTCACGAGAGTATTGCTTGGGCGAGAGTACTTTGGGATGGGGCTCCATCCCGCTGCGATTGATCCGGTCTAATTCATATCATATCGGGTCTTCACTCGAGAATAGTGAAATATCCGATTTTCCAAGCAGTCATTCTCAATCAGGAGTCATCCCGCGGGTCGAATGGCTCGATTTTCAAATCAAGGGAGTAGGAGAATGAAGTCATCGGTTTGCTTTTTTCGGTGTGGTTTACATGAGACTTCGAAGCTCCATGACGGGGCAACCGTGGAACGCGGAGCGCTTCGTGTGATTTGTCGGCCACAGGGTTCGATTTTTTCGACAGCTTTTCGGAAGGGAAATCTCCTGCCGGAAGAATGGATGATTTTTGGGCCGGAGCTCGCCCGTGGAAAACGCGAGTCTGCGAGAAACGCCCTGATGCCGTCCTAAGGCGATCGACGTACACAAAGTTCTCATCGCGCAGCGCTTAGCAAGCTCGGCGGGGCCGCGAGCTCCGATGTCTCGTCCCGGTTCTTATGCTGTATACTTCTCGAGCTGCTATGCTCTGGAAGGGCTCGCGGATTCTACTCGAGATACTCTCGCTCCGATATCGATATTTCAAATTTGGAACCCAACATTCGACCAATTATTGATCTTTGATTATTGTACAATGAAATAATGACCGAATCTTGAATGCCATGACGTGCTCGTATCCAGATTCCTTCCGCTGATCGACCCTGAGACGAGAGCTGTCTCACCAGAAGGTCGCTGTTCCGCTTCTCGTCATGATGGCGTCGATCGATTAGGATCCTGATGACGGTCCTAATTCATGTCATCCGGGCTATCCTCATTTGATCCTGTCCCCGGTCGGACGTTATGGATTGGGAACGACCCCTCGAGTCAAGGTTTGAGCCCATCCGAGCGGAGCCCTGAACTTGGGTGCTTTTTGTCAAAAAATGATTGGAACTTCAAACTGCGCTTCTCAAGTTTTCGCCAGATGATTACGGATCCGTGCTCGGAGTTCGTCGTAGTTCAAGTGCTATAGGAGAGTCTTACCATGGACTCAGGCCTTCTCGGCCTGGTTTCTTCTGACGGGCTGACGGTGATATCGACTGGAGCGGTTCCCGCGGATAGTCAATCGGAGCTTCCATCCAAGCGCCGTTCCGTGGAAGCTCCGAATCAATACCGACGATTCCGATGAACATGACTCTGGGAAAATCACATTCATTACAGTAAATGCATTTGTTCGATTTCTCTTACTCTGTTAATTGGATACCATCAGCTATGATACGAGCAACCGCGACTGGAAACGACTCTTACTGATTGGTTCATGCTTACGAAATCGAAGCGATTAAAAGCAGCAAACGCTTCGAAAAACACTTGGTGTTAAATGAGCCCTGATCAGTAATAATAATCATTGAGCGAGGCGGATCGGTTTCCAATACAACCCGCACGGCACCGTGGTTCGTGAAGGAAAAAGTATCGGAGAGCGTTCTTCTCCGTTGCAGACGTTTTTTCCCTAATGATCTTCCCCGTTTTTCCCGCGGATAGCATACCGTTTTCTCTAATTCAGCCGAATTTTCCCCCTCCATCCATCCCGGAGCGGCCGCGTTGGTTGCCATCCTAGGATTAGGCGTGGACAACGTTTTTCCTATGGCCCGTCCGAATATGAACTGACCATAATCACCCACACAGCGTCTGGGACGATACCCAATAAACGAAGCTTGGGCATGGGAGCATTGCATCGTTTCCTGTATGACCGGGAAACAGCACGTGAGCTGCAGCTGAATGGGGGTAGGCGGACCGCGAATTCATCGAACGATTCCGCGAGCTCCTCGGGCGTATCCCGCCACCGGGAGTTGACCGTGGGTCGATGTATGTATGTATGATAGTGAAAAATGACATTGATTTGCCCATCGCAGTGGCGTTTCGGGGGAACAATGAAGAAGGAGCAGCCCTCCACAGATGACCATCCATCGCCCTGATCGTCGCTTCGCACTTTGAGAAAGCGTCTCTCAATCAAAGGTTCCGACCTCGACTAATTCGATGATTGAAGTGATGATTTTCCCGATGCTAGAATTCCCATTTCGATCTTCCGTTTCTGGGGAAGCTCCTGGCTCATTTCCGAGCTCAAACAAACGAGTCTGACCGCTTTGTTCAGTCAGGGGAAGATCTCGCTCATTGAATCAGTTCGAATATTTCGATGCTCTCTCGGTCGGAGCGACTGACTGAGTAACGAGAACGGCCTCGCGTGCGAGTCTCAATTATTTGTAACGTTAAACATCTCACAAGTCTTTTAATCAGCTACCGCGCGCACATCTGCTTTCGCGTACCGATCCCCTGCATTACGCCGCTACCTTCACAGCTCCATCTCGCAGATTGAATCTTCGCTACCAGCAGCGGACCTCCCCCGATCGTGAGCCTCCCTTCTCGATTTAAGATGAATGCTTTTATAAGCTCAACCATAAATCCTCGGAATTGCGAGAGGTCGCCATTCGGCATGCGCTCGGGAGATGGGAATGAAGGAAAAGATCACAAAAAAGCGCTACTTTGTTTGATCGAATCATGATCCTCCAGCTTCAACTGAGGCATTCACGAGAAAGCCCCAGCACATGTCTGCGTTTTCACGGTCCGCAAGTCGAGTGCTTATAGCCCGCACAAAGTCGTACCGATGAGTCGCTTCTGAAACGCTATATAGCCACTGGGCAGAGTGCACTGTACTCAATTCGACCTTGGAAGAGCTGACAGGGAACGGGGAAGATGACTGTGGTCGGAGGCTGAGCCATCGTACAGTCGATTCTCCACGGAGTGTGATTCAGTCGCCAATCGCCCCGGACCAACCGTGTCCACCATCGATCGACCCTTTGAGAATTCTTTCGACTACCTGCGCGAGATCCTCGGGATGTCGGAACGCCCCTGGCTTCTCGCTGGACATGGTTTCCGGGAGCCCTTCGTCCCCGCCCGCATCCGCATGATGACTCCAAATCCACGAGAAATTCCGGAGAGGAGGCGGGACATACAGAGGAGATGTCAAATGGAAGTAGTGTCGCTTCGATGGGCAGTGCTATTATCCTGTTGGATCGTGCTTGCGCTCCTATGCACGAATCGACTAGGATAATAGTCAGAAACTGAAGGACTGTTCTCGTTCTTCTCCTTGATCCATGAGATATCCATATGACCACGACGAGCGTACTTTCAATTCTCAACCTTCCTCAAATTCCTTGAGCTCGGCAGCTGATACGAAAATTATTCTGCAGACCAGCGTTCGGTCGACGGGCGATCTGATACATTCACTATTCAAGTCGAACCAAAATCACGGAACAAGCGATTGGATAATCAGGTTATTAGCTCTCGATCGCAGCGGACGTTTCCCTCTGAGAAGCGCGGTCCACTGTCCGTCGACGAGCTGATTTTGCACGGTGAGCAAGGTCACCGACGGTCAGTTCCGACGTCTCCGGATGTGATCGACGTCGCCGATTCCGTCCGAAATATGTGTCTCGCTAGTCGCTTGCGTGAAATACATCTCACCTGTCAATCAGGCGATCCAAGGGAGCCATCGCTCATCGGGAGCAATCTACCCGCCTGTATCCAACATTGCCCAACATCCTTCGCTTAATCTGATTCTGCATTTTCCTGCTGTAGGACTATCTCGAAGGTCAACAAAGATGAGCGGAACAGATTCGCCGAATTTTCCTCTTGCTCGTCCCAACGTTTTCGGCATTGATCTTCTCGTCGGGTAATTATCTCACATCGAAGGCAAAGTGAAA